CATGCCGCGGAGCGGCTAGGCCCGTGAGCCATGGCCACTGAGCCTGCGCGTCCGGAGCCTGTGCTCCGCAACGGGAGAGGCCACAACAGCGAGAGGCCGGCGTACCACAAAAAAAAAAAAAAGAAGACTCTAGAGAAAAGGTAAGAACCAAAGCTGGGCCTTGGAAGAGGGGCTGACTCAGACTTGCAAAAAGAGGGGATGGCACTGGGGCAGGAGGACCCTAGTGAGTGAGGGCACGGAGGGGCTGTGCATCAAGTGCCATCAAGGTCAGCAAACTAACCAGTTACGCTACATGTCCTGCCCACTCTCTAAACATTCAGAGGCTGTCCTATGTCCTGGACCCATTCACATTGTCATCATCTCATTTAACAGTTGACAGAAGCAGACTCAATGAGCAGAAGTTACAACACTTCACAAAAACTCAGTCTACGGCAAAGGGAACTGGATGGGTAGGGCGGTTGTTCCGGCCTTTGGGAGACCACAGAGGCATCACTTTCTTTTCCCGAAGCAGTGAAATTCCCGAACCTGGGAGACAATGGCATTTCCAGGCCTCTATCCTAATGGGGTGATGTGGGGAACACAACACCCCCAAACAAAGAAAAGCCTCACTTCTTCAGGATGAGCATCATCTACTCTTTCTTTGGTACTCAAAGAATTAGGGTGGTAACAACTAAAATAAAGAGACCCTAGGTTGATATCAACTTACCTTCAATCTACCTCCAGCTAAATCCCACCGTAATAGGCTTGAGTCTTTTAATTGAAATAAATGATTTAAAACAGTGGGCCAATGAGCCCCAAAAGTAAGAACACTAAATACACATAGCTGTGTGTTTGCCTTGCTATTAAATATTCAACAATATATTGATAGGATTTAAATGATCATTTTCCCTCTGTATGGATATGAGTATAACGATTAAACGATTCCCATTGGGAAATGCTGGGCTCGCTAGCAAGTCAGCCTTCAGACTCTTTCACAAGAACATTAAGTTGTGTCCTTCATGGATTTAGATGGGAGAGACAGTGTTTCTGTTTAATCACCTGCTCGCCACAAAGGGAAGCCACACTAACTTCAGCAGGAACAGAGC